TCTTTTAATATGAAGTTTTCTTTATGTTTTTATTATGCCAGAAAGGTTTAATAGATCTTTCTTATAATAACTTATATTTTAATTATTCTTACATTAAATCAAGGGTCCAACATTTCTTACTCGCACGGGCCCCAAATATAGTAGGGCCGGCCTTGCTAGTGTATTTGTACACCAAACCGTTGTTGCATTCGATTCTTTATGGTTTGTTTTATAGCATGTCACCTGTAACCCCTACAGTCCTTTTGGATTTATGCAGGGTGACCGGAGAAGCAAATATTCATTTGGATGCCCACAGAGATCAGAATGGCTAAGCGCGAGCTATCCAGTACTTTGAAAAATTTGAAGGTAAAGATAAATTTGACACCTAGAAGAATGAATGTTTGTGAGATTATTTTTAAAAGCCATACAAAAATTTAATATTCCTGCTCTACTGTGTTTGTGTGTTTTGAGAATTGAGTTATTCTTATGGCAGACAAGCTACATTAACTTGTGGGTTCTTTAGCTTCAAGATTGTATTTTTTATTATTGAGATGTGGAATTCTCTAATGAAAGTTGGGGTGTCCTTTTATTATAGTTTATGCAAAGGGCATCCAACAACAAAGAGGAGAAAGCTAAGGAGGCCGAAGATGTATTGCCTGATGGTATCTTCCCTTCTTCGACTGCTCCCAAAAGATGGTACGAGTAATTCTCTCTCCTGCATGTCTATGAAAAGTTTTATTCGATATTATTGTAAACAATACAATCTCAACTTATCATAGTACTTGATACTACGTATTTCACTTCTAGCTAGTTTCCTCCTAAAGGCTTATATCTGCATCAAATTCCAATTCTTTTTAGTATCCAGCATTTACTTCTCTCTGTCTCTTAGTTTTGGATAGTTGCATAAGGAGATCAGGTTTCATGGGGTGGTGGGCCAATTGGGGGATTTTTTTGACACAGAATTGTACCTTAACTTCTTATATAAACGCCCTGTTTAAGTGTTTAACACGGGAAGTAGTAGATTGGAGTTATTATCTATGTGTTCTGTGCTATGCTATGCCATTGAGGACAAGTGCAAGATTAATGAGTATGGCGGCTCCTCTTCTTTTAGAAGCAATACATGATTACATGTTTACATGGTAAGAGTTTTGACCTCTGGCTGGGCATATGAGAAATTTGAAGACAGAAAAATCATCTCTTAACAAGTCTGGATAGCAGGCTTCGTTTTCACCGTACATGACCATAATGGAAGGACTGTGATAGTATGGATAAATGTGGAACTTGGATATTGGATTACCTATTCTTTAGATGCAATGCAATCTTTAAAAATCACAGCATTTAGAATTTTGTTTAGTACTCCGTATTCTAGTCCTTGAGTTTTTGGGGTACTCAATATCAGAAAGAGAAAATTTATTTATGCTCTTTCTGATACCGGGATGAATGTTTGGGGCACTTGAGTTATCCATGATCACAGATGTGTTCTGATTTGTTCCCATTATTTCAATTCCCCCTTTTGGTGCTTAGATGAAACTTCAACGACTTTCCAATTTCAGTGTTGTTATTATGGAAGGAGATCCTCATCCTGGAGCAATAAAGGGCAGGATGTCATTTCAAAATTTTAACCCTGCTATTGATGTAAGTATAAGTACTTGAAGTAATTTCAATATGTGTTAGCCTATTCACTTCTGGTGTCTGTCTGTCTGCTTACATGCACTGGTTTTTATAGAAATTAAATGAAGAAGAGCTAAAGCTTAACAAACCAGAAGCCTCTGTAACTTCTTCCGGAACTACGAGTGAAATAATTTCTAATAGGTAACTTCATGTCTTAAGGTTAACTGCAAACACAGTTTGGTGATTATTGCTTGATTATTATTAAACAATTTTTTATGCATAATATATTAAACTAGAAAATCTTCTACATACTAAAATATTACAGTATAATAGTATAATTTTTTCGACTTAAAGTCTAAATATGGTTATGATTAATTGATTGCTGGTATGGCACTTTAAGTTCCCAAACTCTTTGACTAATTAACTTTCAGTATTACATTTCACCTTAAAACTTGCCTTGCTAAGCTGGCATAAGCATCTCACATAAATCGGGCAATGAACTAAAGGCTTCAAAGTTCAAAGTTCATGATAGATCTATTCTTGAGGAGCTGAAGTGTATGTGGCATTTATTTTGGCCAAGTAGTATCTCATTGTTCTTTATAGGTTTGTAGCTTTACTTACCTATAATATGAGATCGCTTTAGCATTCTTATCCCAAGGTTTTTTTCTTCTGATTGCTCCAGAGAAAATGGGTCGAGTAAAGATGGAGCTGAGAACTCAAAAGTCAACAACAAATCAAGCACCGATGCAAAGGGAGATAACAAGAGGAAGCAAGACGGTGTCTCGGATGTTCGTTTTCCGAAAAAAACACAAAAAAATGGGCCCGATCACAAAGGGCCGTCGTCAAGTGGCAAGAAAAAATCCCAGAAATACCCCCCAAGATGTGAACAAGGGGCTTTCAGTGTCCTTGTGCCACCAAAGCATCAAAATAAAAAACATTAGGTAAAGGCTGATGATTCTTTTGCTCTTGGATAATTTGCTTCTAGTCAATGATAGTGTGTTGTTGTGCTATAAGCTGTGTTGACAGCCCTAAATGGGTCATTTTTCTTCACTTCTTACACCTTTTTAAAGTTTTTTTTGTCGACCATCATCATTATAATGTATCTTGATTGTTAATGAAATTTGTCATTATGCAAAAGCTATATAAAACTATTATGTTCTCAACTTTCATATATTCTGTTGGGAGTTTCATTGATACTTGTGAGTCACTATCATCATCATCATCAACATCAACATCACCATCATCATCATCATCATGATCATCATCATCATCTCATGATAAGTTTAACCAAAGAGGTTCATAATAATTATTGACTTGAACAAACGAATTTGGATTAAAACGAAGAAATTTCAAACACATAAAGCACATTCTCTTTTCCACTTCTAAAAGATTGCCCCACCCAATGCAATAAATTTCTCCTTCCTAAATTTCTTACCCCACTCAAACTTATCTTTAAGTGTACCCAAAAAAATATCACCCTCAATTATTTATCAATTGATATTGAGATTTAGGGAGTATATCCAGACAAATACCCCGTATAAGTTCTACACAACATAATAATACGTTATTTGACAATATTGTTTTAACAAACTATTTGTTAAAACAGGTCTAGAAATAAATTAAAATTTGATCCCAAGTCCATTTCAATTTTTTTTAACAAAATTTTACGGAATATAAATATATATTAATATGTGGCTTGACAATATTATTTTAACAAAATATATATCATACGAACTCTCTAAAATTTACTCTCTTTTTTAAAAACTGTCTTCCCATTAGCTACGTACTATTGTTTACTGAGTCAATTAACTTTGTAAGCTTATTTTCATTACTTATTTGATAAAAATAATATAGTCATTTCACTTTTACTTATGTAGTTTTTGAATCTATAAATTTTATTTTTAAATTTCACATCAATTTTTCAATGAATTGAATTGAAAATAAATTTAGTCCAACATCATAAAGTGCAATGTAGAGTTGGATTTAGGATAGAAGAGTATGAAATATGGCATTTGGTTACTTCAGAGCAACTCCATTGGGTCTTGCATATTGTAAAAAATATATTATATACAAGACCCTATAGAAAAATTGTCACTCCAATGGGTAGGGCAAAATTAACACTATATTGTAAAAGGCAAGTCTCACCTTGTATTAATACACTACATGCTATTCTCATTTTGTAAATTCATTTTTTATATATATTTATTAAAATACATTTATATTTATTGTTTCTTATAAAAATACTCAATATATGTATAGTTTGAAATGCATGTACCATAAATATTTTAAAAATAATAATATATAAAAAAAGTGTATTATTTACTCCCTCCGCCCCCCTGTATTTGTCCACTTTCATTTTTGCACACCATCTAATGCACTTCTTTAATCCATTTTATCTTGTAAGTTATATATTAAAAAATTATATATTAATAATCTATATGTTAAGACAAATCAAACAAGATCACACATGACTATATTTAGGCTTACACATTGAGAGAATTTGATGAGTCAAAGTGCTTAGATGAACAGTTTCAAAAGTCAAATGTTGACAAATACAGAGGGACGGAGGGAGTAAGAGAAATGATTGGAGGAGCTATGAAAAGATGGATTGCTAAAACACATTTGGTAGTGTAAAATACAATATACACTATAAAAATTTACAATATCCATTGGAGATGCACGGTCGAAGATGACTGACGTCAACAAAGGGTATAGACTGTTGGGGAAATTAATGATAACTTGGATGAATCGAGAGTTGTGTAAACACTTTCAGATTGAATATTTTGGTTGTTCACTCCAAAATTCAATCGGATAAAACTCGAAAGTATCAAGAACGAAATATGAGAATCGCTGTGTCTGAAAACCGAACGAAATTCGACCATGCC